ATCTTGATTTTTTCCTTTATGTATCCACATACACGTCATTGGATTTTCCCTTTCTCTCCTATGTGTTACTCTATATATATATCTCCACATACATTTTTTCGCGTGTGTTCTCTTAATCTGTGCTTCTATAGCACGTCTCTTCGATCTATTCTTTTCTATCTTCACGTAGTTAGTGTTTTCCCAATAAAACTAAACTCATGCTCATCCAAACTTACAGTTAAAATCGGTGTTGCTAAATCTTCTCAAAAGTCAGGAAAGGTTCGGAAATTTGAACATTTTCCAAGTTTTGTTCTGATCTTCTGATTTTTGCAGAATTTCGAACATTTTTAGATAGTGACTTCACTAGCGAAATTCATTACAACTATAACTCATTAATATTATAGATCCATATTTCGCGATCTTCTTTCCTTTCTCAATCTTTTGTAGTTTCTGAGTTCTGCAGCCACTGACAAGTGCTTTAATATATCAGTAAATTTTTGCATTGCTGAGCTTAAGAATGAATGGTAACTATTTTTCTTTGAACGACTTTGTAAACATATTTTAGCTCACAAATACTTATTGAAGGAGTTTTGAACAAAGGAAAACTTAAAAAATAATATGAAATTTATGTTCTATAACCTTTATTATTTTTTGTAAGATCTTTTTATCTGCATAGTTTAGGTATATGATATCGTTTGTGCATACTTTTCGTAAGCAGAGTTTTGGGCTTCGTAAAAGAATCCGACACTAGGTGTTTTTTGCTAGCTTTTTTTGTATTAACTAACAATTCAAGACCATGTAACTGCGAACTAAGAATATTGGTCACTGTCGGATCGAATGAATGCTCTTACTCACAAACTAACTAGTTTAAAACATGAGCTACCAATAGCGTACACAGATCGAGATATTTGAGTTTCAAGAAATTTACAGTTTGTTATGTTGTGCCCACGCTACGAAATTCCATCAATACTTAGTTTTCTTTTTTCGTCATGTGTGGATGGAACACGACTATTTATATAAGAAGAAGCAATATCACACATACATTCAAAAGCAATTTGACAGCAATTAGAATTTTTTGTTTATTACTCTTATAATTAAAAACAATGTTGTCCGAGACTTCGTAGAATTTGCTTTTTAAAATGCGTGATATTGTTTTTTCTTATGTAAATGATCGTGCGCCATCCAACTATGACGAAAAAAGAAAACTAAGTGTTGATGAAATTTCGTAGCGTGGACACATAACAAACGATACATTTTTGAAACTCGAATATCTCGATCTATGCACGCTATTGGCAGCTCATATTTTTAATTAGTTGGTTTCACAATGAGAACACTCATTTGATCTGACTATGATCAATCTTCTTAGCTTACAGTATACAGTCTTTTACTCTAAGTTATATAATGGTTGTGTTGTCTTTCTTCACTATGAAATACTTTTGGAAATAAAGTGTGAGTTGATAAACAAAAAAAGTGAATCATTTTGTATAAGTATGTCAACATGATAGTCCTCAGTTTGCAAGAAGTTACTCTTTCTAATTAATTCCCGATTTCGAAGAAAAAATTCTGATTTTTTTTTCTGATTTTCAAGAGTTTCATCTGGTAACCGAGGTGAAAATGGTAAATTCCGTTTTCGCCAAAAACAGATATAAGTTGAGTTTAATCAACCATGTATGCAGCAATTATATTGAGGTAATTAATCGATCATACCCAGTCAGTAAATCCTATGTGAGATGGCTTCCATGTCAGTTAAATTAACTACCAAGTCAGATGGTAACCATCTGAGTTGGTAGCCAACTGAGTTGCCCAAGTCAAAGAATCCCGTGACCCAGATTCTGATCCAGATTTTGTTGGAATCCGATGAAAACCGATAGCATCCAATCAAAATTTACACGTATCCAGTCGGATTTCACATCGGATTCCGGGTCACGGGATTTCCGGCTACTTTCAATAGGATCGTGCTGATATTAAGACCATCCGACAAGATCCGATGGCTCAGCTTTGTCCTGGGTGGTCACCATCTTAGTTGGTAGCCAACTGAGTTCGCAACCATCAGAGTTGGTAACCATCTCAGTTAGTAACTATCTGAGTTGTTAGTCATCTGAGTTGGCAACCATCTGAGTGTGGGTGTGGGGTGTGTGGTGTGGTTGTCGGTGCCTCTGGGTGGAAGAATGTGAGAGTATAGATGTGCGAGGAGTACCGACACCGATACCCACACCCGCACCCAGAAGGTTACCAACTCAGACGGCTACCAAGTCAGTTGGTTGCCAACTCAGTTGGCTACCAACTCAGATGGCTGCCAACTCAGATGGTTACCAACTCGGTTGGCTACCAACTCAGATCGTTACCAACTCAGTTGGCTACCAACTCAGATGGTTACCATCTGACTTGGTAGTCAGTTTAACCGACATGGAAGCCATCTCACACGGGGTTTACTGACTGGCTATGATCGATTAATTACCTCAATATAATCGTTGTATATAGGCATGCACCAAACCCAAACCCAAACCCAAACTGTTTGGGAGTTTGGGTTTGGGCTTGGGTATAGGTGTGGCTATGGGTTTGGGTCTAATGTTGCAAATATGCATCGTTAGTCCTAAACCGTTTTCATTTTTATGCTTTTGATATTGGGCCTGAGTTTGGGTTTGGGTTTGGGTATGAGTTCGAGTTTGAGTTTGACCAACAGTTATATATCAAAAGCTTAAATACATGGACCATCATCAAATTCAAACCCAAACTCATACCCGAACCCTACCCAAACCCAAACTCAAACCCAAACCCAAACTCAATACCCAAGCTCACCAAACCCAAACGGTTTGGGTTTGTTGCATGCCTAGTTGTATACATGATTAGATTCAGCTTATATTTGTTTTCGGTGACAAAATTCTTTCGGCGAAAATGGAATCGGCGAACTTTATTTTGGGCGAATTTCTTTCGGTGAAAATTTTTTCCGGCGAAATTTGTCTTCGGCGAAAATGGACTAAATCGGTGAAAATACCAGGAGCGATTTTTTTCTTCTTCTTTTCTTAATTGTTCACAAAAAGAACAAACTAAAAGTGCATGTGTGATTCAGATGGAAGAATAAAAATAGAGTTGCTATCTAATTCAAAAAGAAATAAACCATTCTGAAAAAGTAAAAATTCAATGGACAAAAACTTACTCATGAAAATTACAATGGGCAAATCTCTCCGAATAAAGCTGACAATTGTCTATTTGCTCCTTCATTGGCTATGCTACTGCCAACTAAAAAAGATATGTGAGTTTCACATTTCAACCCCAAAGGAGCTACACTAACAGGCTTTTTATCGAAACCTAGCCATGTCAAATAACATTGTCCTAAAAGAGAATCGCTGTCAACCATGACTAGAAGCGGTATCGTTTCAGATGTCAGATCAATCGGTTCAATCAGATCTGACCTATTCAGACTAGTACTAGTACTGATCTTCAAGAAACTATATTGACTCCATCAAAATAGCATCAGGAATGATGGTTCCGACTTTAATCTCTTCTATGCGTTCCAGATCATAGTGCAATTACAGACTGTGAATGAAAAAGTTTTGTTTAATCTGCATCATATTATTATTATAATAAAAATTGTCTGATCGAGTTGTGCTAAATATACTACCTATTTATTTAATGTTGTTTTAGAGTATCTAGCAAATCTGAACTACTGAATCTACTTCTCTTTAAATTATATTGCAGAGAAAACACTTCTGCATTTTATTTCATCATATATGTATAAAGAATATCATATCAACACCAAAAAATATCTAAGACGAAGATACAGTCGATTATGATACATGAACTGAAGCTTCATGTAAGAATTGATCAGCATGTTTATGAATAACTTCTATGTAGAAAACGTAGAACACAAGATTCAAGTCATGAGAACGGATTGTGTAAAATAGTTTTAAAGAATAGGAGGCACCTTTTGTATTCTTGACTTGTTCGTAAGCTGCTGATCTTCTTGTCTATTTACAAGAACGAAAACAAAACATGAATCTGAATTATGCTATTCATCAGAGCAACGATCTCTGACATGAACAGATAGTATCTAAATAGTGCAGACTAAATGCCAATAGTATATTCATTGTTACCTTTAAATAATGCCCAACGATAATTGGAGTCAAAACCAAACGAGTGAATACACTAACTATGAATTCAAATCAATACAAAAAAAATTAAAAAATGTGAAGAAAAATACATTTTTCACCCTCTTTTATAATATTGATCACTGATGCATAGTTTGCTTTCGTTCCACTTCAGTGAAAAAAGCAAGTAGTCAGACAGAACAGCCTGTATGTGATGTTTTTTTCTCGTCTCGCACGGAACGAATGTTAACTTTAATTAACATCTGAAAAAAAAGTGAAAGCATATTTTCATCAACTCTCTTACACTAACAAAACATGCGCAGGTAGTTAGGTATGGTAGCATATATATGTTTATACACTGAGTATGTATTTCTTGTTTTTTTTTCTGTAATGAGTATAAATTTTCGTTATAACTTGCTTCGAATAATGGTGACACTGAATGATTGATTAAATTTGATTGAAGAATATTTTTTATACAGTTAGAAAGTATTGTGTTCAGTTTTTTTTAGAAAGAATATAAACTTTTATTATTTTTTTTTCTGATCATGAGGACATGAAGATATTGAATGATTCATGAATTTCCAACAATTACTAAGTAGAATGTTTTCAAACGATTTATGAAAAAAATATTTTCATTTAGGATTCTCAGATAAATAATTAAATATTAAAAACTGAGTTGTCATATAGATATTTTATATTTTTTCAAAACTTTGTGTTATTATCACGATTTGAGACCATAATAAATGATTATAAGTCATTCCTTTCCTTTACAAACGACGTGTGGACGTATATTCTTTCTTTTCTTACATAATATTACTGCGTACAAAATTTAAAGTTCATTCTGTTCGATGATAATTATTTATCACGTTTCTGTCACGTGATCAACGAAATCAATTACTTCCACGGGAAAAATCAAGAAATTTAAAATTGGAGATGAGCGGACGACATTTGGTGTCGTCTAATCATCTTCAACAACAGCAACAGAATCCGGAATCAAGTATTAATAATAGAGGTCATCAAGGTCATTATGCAGTGCACTCTTCACAACGTCCTCATACAACTTATGAAGATGACATCATTGAACATGAAGATTTTGTTAATGATACATCAACTAAAATTGTTCAAAATCGTTGTAAGCGAAAGCAGGTTCAAACTCATGCACACAAGTATAATACGAGACAAAATGTCCATCGACTATCTAATAACTCACGGACAACAGCAGTTCAGTTCGATTCTACCCATTCGATTCAATCTTCTCAGTCAAATCAATGTATGAAGTCTGATCAGCTTAATCAACAACAGGCAACAACAACGATTGCCTCAACGTTAAATAATGATCAATTAACTGAAGAAGCTGAAAGATTTGCTCGTACACGTTATCCATTTCCACCTTTTATTGTTCGTTTTCCATCATCTAATATAAAAGAACAGAAGGTGTCGGAAGAACTATGTAAACATTTAAAAGATAATAAACAACTTCAATTAGAATTAATTGGATACCGTCGTTTGACTCTTACGTGCGCAGCAAACGAGTGTGATATATTGTTGTTTGTTAAAGATAGTCTTTCCTTTTCGTTTTTGTACAATGACACGAATTGGCCGACTACACTTCTTGGATCGACCTTCATTAGGCTAAAGTCACCGAGTATTCCACCACAATTAACTGTAATTATGAAAGGTGTCGGTCTGTCTGTCGATATGGAAGATTTAACCACAGAACTGAGATCAATGTTTAGTAGCTTAGAAAATGTTGTAAGAATGAAAAATAGATTTCAACAAGAAATTACCTTAGTAAAATTAGAATTTAATTGCCCGGTGGAAAGAGAAAATCTTTTAAGTGATAGTAAATTGCGTGCTTGTTCTATTTCATTTCCTGTGGTAGAATATCTAGCTCAAGCTAGAATTGTAATCTGTGGAAAATGTTGTTCGATTGGTCATTTTCGTCGTCAGTGTCGACAGAATGGTGAGACTTGTCGTACATGTGGACAGACTATGTCTGATATAAAACAGCATTTACATCTATGCTCAAAACAATCACATTGTATACACTGTAAGCAAAATCATGCTAGCAATGATATGAGATGTAGTGAAGTAAAAAAATTCAGAGCTGATCTTACAGGCAGTCTACTAAATAGTTATAATGGTCTCAGCTCTGCTTCTTCGTCTTCAAGCTATTTGTATGATCAGTCAAACTTTCCACAATTACCTTCTGCTCAGAGAACAACAGTTACCAATGTATCTACTTTACAGAGTTTAGAAATAATAAATAAACTAGATATAATGAATGAGGTAATTTTAAAAGTGAATGACAGAATAGAGAAATTTTCGTCTGAATTCGAAGAAATGAGAAAGTTGAATGAAGAATTGAAACGGTATGTTGTGGTATTGTCTATGGAAAATCAAACGATTAAATTGAGAATGAACGAAAAGGAAGAACTAACCAAGGATGTTTTACTTCCATTCTGTCGTGATTTGATTAAATTTGTTAGAGAGAAGAATACAAATAATGGAAGACATTTGGATGAATCATTACATTCACATTTAGAAATTTATAGTGCACGGTTAAATAAAATTGTGGAAAGTAAACAATTACTTAAATGACATTCTCACCTCTCGGAGTTCCATTTTTTTCTTGCATAACTGAAAATAGCTTTTATGTGAGGGACAACAAGTTGAAGCCAGCGAGTGAATGTTTGAGTCGTTATGATTTCCATATGTTTCAAAGTATTTTGAATGAATGGGAGAGCACTGTCCTCTTATCGGGTTTGTTTAAAGAATGGGAAAGTTATGTTAAACCCGATCTATATTCTATCTCTAATATTTTAAGTGTTTTGTCGTTTAATGTAAGAGGGTTGGACCTTAGAGTCGAAGAAGTTTTTATGTTGTCTCTCTCGTTCAAATTTGATATTATGGTCCTCTTAGAGGTTGGCTCTTTTGATTCTACTTCTCTCTGCCAACTTTTTCAAAAGTATCGTTTTTTTTATCAGGCAGGTGAAAACAAAAATGGAGGCGTTGTCATTCTCACTAGAAATGACATAAAGGTTAAACGTCTAGATTGTCCAATCTCTAATGTCATCGTGCTTGATCTCTACTTAGAAGAAAGTTTAAGGTTAATAGGAGTTTATGGTTCTGGAAGTAGATCGTGGATGTGAGAGGATCTTTCTCAGTTTTGTGATGAAAAGTCAGTGATATTTGGAGATCTTAACATCGACTTAGAGGAAGATGGAAAGATTGCCGAAAAGTTTCTAGAGTAGGCAGATTCTTGTTTTTTATCACCTTTACACCAGGAAATTCTACTAGCTTAAGATAGAATAGAATAATAGACTATACACTTTCTTCCAAATTTTCGGTTGATTTGCAAACTTATGAAGGGACAACAACTAGCGACCATAAACCTATAATTTCATCCGTCGCTATTAAATCAAAAGTTTTAAAACAGTGTAGAAATATTCATTTTAAAGTTTTTTCTTTTTTTTGCATCAGTGGTTCACCCGTTTTGGGAAGCCTTGTGGAAGTTAGATAATCTAGACAGTGTTTATAATGATTACAAACGATTTCTTTTTCTTCTTTCAGCCCGTTGCACCACATATTTTCCTCTCGAGAAATATAGGGTAGCAAATCCGAAAGAGATGCGAGCTCGTTTCTCGCTTATACGCGCGCTTTCATTTAGACAGAAACGTACAGGAGATTTAAGTTTAAAAAAAAAGTGAATCGATTAAGAAAGGAATCGAAATTCGAATTAAAATTCTTTATGAGTACTAGATTATCGTATAGTCTCTCTAAACGCCATTCGTCCACTCTAGGTTCCACAGCCTTTTGCTCTAGAACTAAAACTTTCTTTAAGGGAAAATCTGCTTCGTTAAGGGCATTTGCACAACCAAATGGAGAAATAATTAAGGACCCTAACAAGATGGCAGAGTTAGCTGCGGATTTTTATGAACAACATTTTGAAGAGCCTAACACTGCAGAGATTATTTGACCTCATCCAATTTCGGATGCTCCTTTTATTGAGTTCAATAATCATGATGAGGCGATACCCGAGGCGACAATCGAAGAGGTTTTAGAAATCGTTTACAAGCTTAAAAAGAAAAAAGTCGTGCGATCCACATGGAATTTCAAATTACCTTTTCAATTTCTTGCCTAGTTGTTATTGGTTGTTATTACTTAAAACATTTAATTATTCGTTTTCTACTGCGATTCAGCCAACTGCCTGGAAAGATGCGAGAATGATCTTACTTGCTAAAAAAGAATGTATTTGTACGCCAGCCGAGACCCGCCCGATATCATTGTTAGATGTATTTATGAAAGTTAATGAACGTTTATTCACGAACCGTTTTCGCAAGTTGTTGGACAGACGTGGTCTTTTGCCCGATTCACAATCGGGTTTTAGACCAGGCTTTCGCCTTCAAACGAGAGTCCTTCTTTTTATTGAACATGTATCCTCTTTAATGTCAAATTCTTGTTCGGTCGCTAATGTTTTTGTAGATTTTAAAAGCGCTTTCGATCTTATGTGGATAGAAGGATGTTTAGCTAAACTGCGAAGAATGGGTATTCCTCGTTCTTACTTAAATTGGATTAGGTCGTGGTTAGAAAGTAGGCGCGGTTTTATAGAAATCCAAGGAGTTAGATCCAGATGGTTTAGCATCAGAAGAGGAAGTCCTCAGGGTTCGTGTTTCACGCCTACAATTTTTATTACCTTTCATTCTGACATGGGCGATTTTCTGGATGTTTGCATTCCGTTCTTTTCTGCTGATGACCTTGCAGCAGTCATAGCTGGCAGAATCGGTGTTAAGTACACTGAACAAGGTATTGATGTAGAAAACAGATTAAAAAGATTTTTTGATAATTTAGAACTATATTCTATGTTACATCTCCAACCTATAAACTACTCTCAAACAGAAAAAATGTGGTCAGCAAGAGCAGTCATAAATTCTCCACCTATAGTTACATGTGGTGGAAATATTATTGGTTGGGTTAAGAAATTTAAATATCTTGGATATCACATTTCAGAAAAAATACGTTGAGGTTTAATGATCAATAAAACGCAGGAAAAAAATCAGACAGCGAATAAACATGATTATTCATTTTCGTTTGAATAAAACAACTTCATACGAACTTCGAAGAGCCTTGTTTTCATGTTACGTTCTACCGCTGTTTACATGTTTGTTCGCGATCTTTCCACTATTTACTGTTAAACAGAGAAATGATCTATCGCATTTTTATTTTACCTGTTTAAAATGTATATCATTTCATTTAGAATGGAATGATTTATTCTATGCGTTCGTATTTGATGAAAAATCACTGGAGGACAGATGTTCAGCTTACTAGGAAAGATACCTCTCTGCTTTGTCAAAGTCAACTGATGGAAGATTTCTTCTTGAACTGGCGAATTCAAACTCATTTAGAACTATGTGGAGAAATAGCGAGATGAGTATAAGAGGACTGAGGAGTAGGGGTGGTACGTTAACGTTTATTTAAAATTAACGTTAACGAAAATCGTTAACCGTTAATATTAACGGTTAACGAAAACCGTTAACGTTAATATTAACGTTAACTAAAACCGTTAATTTACAGTTAATTAACTCATTAACGTATAATTTCGAACTTTTTATGAAAAAGTCAACAGCCATACAGTAACTTTTATACGTGAAGTCCTATATCAGCAAGGTACCCAGAGTTCCTCATGTCCTATACTAGGAGGGTATCTAGGGTTCCTCAAGTACTACATGAGGGAATATGTAGGGCATATCAAGTCCTATATCAGAGGGAATCTAGCATTCCTCACGTCCTGCAGCAGGAGTGTACCTAGGCTCCTTCTGGTCCTATATCAGGAGAGTACCCAAGGCGCCTCAAGTCCTACATAAGGGGTACCTGGGGTCCTTGAAGTGCTATATTAGTTGGATATCTAGGGCCCCTCAAGTCCTATATCAGGAGATATCCAGGGTCTCTCAAGTCTTATATCATAGGGGTACCTAGGGCACCTCAAGTTCTATATGACGACAACGGCTGCCGTACTGCAGTTCCTATACTAAGGAATCAATTTAATTGCCTCAAACGCTACTTAAGGACGGTACGAATTATTTCCCGATACATTTTTATATTGAACAGCACACTGCTCAAGATAGGCCATCTGTAAAATACGCAAACACTTGCGAATACCTCGAAAGGAACGATAGTCCAGACCTATCTATACCGTTAGCTAGAACTCGATAAGCTGTGCTCAAGAATACCTACTTCATACGAGTCCAAGAATAGATTCAAATCGTGCGACTCAAAATTTGTCTGCGAACACCGAACCAATTAAGGCCCCCCCCCCCCCCCCTCAAAAATCGATCTCAGCTCCGGAACATCGAGATAGCATGAAACTTTGGGAATATGTTGAAGGTATGAAAGTACGTCTATGGTAAAATTTTCAGCCTCCTATTCTAATGTATAAGGTAGATACGAACCAAACAAGGGTCAAAAAATAGCTTATCGTAGCCCCCAAAATTCTCTATGGGTGTTCATTGAATATGGTTCATTGTTTTTTCATTTGAAAGAGCATGTCAGGATGCAGTGCCTATGAGGGCTCTTTTTTTTAAATCCTTATCTTCAATAAGAAAAAAAGGCTTCACAAATTCAATCACTCAAAAATTCCTCAAAAAAAATGATGCTTATATTATAAAATCGCTTTTCAATACAATAATAGGAAAGCTTTATCAAAAAAAGAGCCCTCATAGGCACTGCGTCCTGACATGCTCTTTCAAACAAAAAAAAATATTTGACTTTATATCGGATTATAATTTACTTTTTTGGGGGCTACGAAATTCTACCACCATTTTGAGAAAAACGTAAAACAATTTTTTTTGTGAAATTTTCGAGAAACATTGTGTATTATGTGATTATCTCTACTTAGTCAAAGGATATAATTTTCCTTCTTCTTCAGAAGTTTCTCTAGGAAAAGTTCTAATGAAACTGTATAAAAAACACATCTATTAACCTGATAAAATGGCCTATCAAGGCGTTACCATAAGAGACGAGATACTGCCGGTTATTTATCTAAATTTTCGTCTGTTGAAAATAGCCTATTTACAGAGAATATTAGTAGTTTCGAGTAACATAATTTTTTTACAATTTTTAGACCAACTATCAGAATGGTTTTCTCACAGATACAAATACTGTTAGATGTTTGTACAAAATAACCTACTGATCAATAATCATGTGATCGGAATGACATAAACTAAATCATCTGATTATCTTTTAACACTCAAGAAATACTTTTTTTGACGTAAAAATTATCTTCTTTTTGAAAAAATCTATGTATCGTGCCGAAAATGCACTTTTTTGCGAAAAACCCAGTTTTTTAAAGAACGAAACCTGAAAATCATGTGGATTCTTAACGTTCAGGTGCTATGGTATTCAGCTATGCATTTATCTCAATTTTCGTTTTTTTGACGAAACTCGACATTTTTGAGGGGGGGGGGGTGGCCTTAACCTAAAGCACAAAAAACAGAAAATTTCATCTTGCACGGAAATGTCGTGTCACGATGACCCTTATGCTACGTATAACTCAACATCACAAGTTGGGATCATTTTGAAGATGGATGTAGTTTTCTAGAATT